CCTCCTCCAACACCTCCTCCTCCTCCTCCTCCTCCACCTCCACCACCACCTCCCATAGCACCAAATTTAGCACCAGAGGAGCGGGGATACTCTACACGCAGCTTGGAGTCTCCATATCCATATCCATTCCTTCCATAGACAGCGTCATCCGCATCCCTAAGAGAAGAGAGCAAAGAACTCCTTACCAAAGTACTGTTTCACTAGCGGACATAGACCTGGAAATGCCGTCTCCATCCATCCCCTGCTGTCAGTCACTGGAGACGATATTATACCACAAAACTTAAGGTATCCGACAAGGGGAATGTGATTCGACTTGCCAAAGACCTTCCCTAAAACTCACCGTGGGTCTTCGAATCGGACGAAGGCAAAAGGGATAGTGCCTCTATTGTTCTTCAATTCAATATCACGGATTTTTCCATATTTGTAGAAGAGATCCTCAATGTCTCTCTCCTGGACATCCACGGGAAGATTCCCCACATAGATCCGGCCATCGGACATGGTGGTCGAGTGAGGGGCACTGCTGACACAGAATGGGGGGGCACCTGCAGACTTTAAGATCACTTCTTGCTTTCACAAATAGCTGTGGAAGGGGTCCTTATCCTAATCCTAGTCCCAATCCAAAACTTTGTCCATCCGCCTCCACTTCCTTAATTTACCAAAAAATGAAAATAAAACTAAAGCAGGGATGCAGCCATGATAGTAGTAAATGATGAGTTCGAGAAAAATGGCACAGGACCTCGGATCCAAGCCTGAAAGCTTTAAAACACAGGGTAATGAATGTCCAACAACTGTAATAAATAAATTGTAAATTAATAAGTGTGTGTGTGTGTAAACATTGATACAGTTTTGTACAGATGGGTGACAGATTAAAAGAAACACCAACATATTTTTGGATGGGCCTGCTGAACAATCTTCCATCATTGTTCAACTGGGTTGAGATCTGGTGTCCTAGCAAATGATTCACATCGTTTTCATACTCATTAAACCAGTCTGTGAGCTGCTGTGCCCTTTTGTTGTGGCACTCCTTTATTTTACTGAGGTTGTTTCTCCCATTTGTCCCCGGTGTGTACTTTACTTAAACATCGAACAGAACTCCAGTAAGGCAGATTAATACGAATACAATCTTGCTAGTGTAAAATAATGGAGGTACATATTTTCCTTTTTAACTTACCAAAATGTGCAATACAACACAATGCAAAACCAAATGACACATTACCATAGATTTTAAATAAACACTCCTTGTCCCCAACAAATACAAATGTTAACTTCAATTAATGTATTGACTTGCATTATAATTTGCAGGTGTTTTTAATGTTCTGGACTCACATATAGGTCCAGACAACAGCTATTTATTATTAGCTAATAACAGCGTCAATCGTGGTGAACAAGCAACGATATTTACACTAACATTCAAACCCATTTGAATTGCATAACCTTAAAATTAAATGCAATAATAACATGGATGTCAGTATCGTTTCCGGGGCCCTAAAACTCGCGCAGCTCTGCAGAAGGTGAACCGACCGAACCTGTTTGCTTCCTGCTCCGTTAACAGGTTGATTATCGATCTTCACACAACGAGAGCTTATAGTTATAAAAGGCAGCAACATAAAGTGGCAACCAAGCACTGATCGTGTGCCTAAAACACTGCTGAGGCGACCCGCTGCTCCTTACTGGCAACCATCAGCTAGCGTCGGTTGCATCGTTGGACGACAGGTTGCCTTACAAACACTTTCAGCAACTTTAGCTGGCTGCGCGTTTTGTGAGCGACTGTGCAACCGAAAACCATTTCAACCGGACGACTCAACTTGACATATGTGGCCTGAACGTGCACACCAGCGTAAGCTTTCTGCGATAAGAGCTCGGTCTCTTTGTTGATAATGTAAGGTCAGCTAGTCGGGCTAACGAGCGTCCGTAGCGGATAAAATACTCGGTTCCCACTCGTTTGAGGATACACATCGTTTGGAGGCGCACGTTAAACGCATGCAGTCAACAACACGATCGCCAATGGGGGTCTCTTTACCTTTCAAATCAAGCAAGGGGTCTTCTTTTGTTGATTCAATGCTAACTGTTGCCACTTCGCACGCTATGTTGCTTCCGTGTTGGTTAGCAACATTAGCCAGCAGCTCTGGGGTTTCTTCTACTTCGCATTTCCGGAAGACAGTAGTGAGGGTTGGTACATTACTGCCCCCCGCCGGAGAGAAAGGGAACATGTTCCTGGCTTTATATATCCACTCCTAATAACGCTATGAACAATTCAGTTTCCACTCATCCTAGCTCAGCTGTATCATAAAAGGCAAACAATAGACTGTACATTGGAGATAGTTGAGCATCTTCCCCTTCGCTGAGGAACCAGAGCTGCTCCCATTGACAGTATACGTACTGAAACACAGGATCACAGGACGCTCCATCCTCTTTTCTAATGCTTTCTTGCACATTCTCACATTTTTACCCACAAGACACTCTAGTCTTTCACTCCGCCCCTGTGTTGGCTCTATACCTGCCATTCTGTGACTATTAGATTTCCACTGATAGAAACAATGGGAATCCACGTATTAAGAAACACACAATCTATAGTGACAATTACTGGTGAAAGCTTACACTAATATTATATTGTAATTATCATATTGCTATATTGATATAACAGGCTCAGCAATACAGTAAGCTACACTCATTTGTTTTTAAATTGCTATATAAAAAAGGAAATTTAATCAAATTATCTGGGAATGTAAATGTGTAACTATGTTAAGGCAGGGAAGTGTCACACACTGAGAAACAAATGCTGAATGGAGAAGGGTGACTTACAGTGAAAAAAAAGACCAAAGTGTCAGATAAACTAGGCTACAAGGATTTAAATACTATGGACACATAATGTAGGATACTGCAGTCCAATGCAATAAGCTCTGTTACAAATACCATGTGAAAGATTGAGTGCTCATCAGGTTGTGGGATGGTGTTGAATTAGATTTTAATTACTTTTTAATTGAAAGTGCCTTGTAGGAGAGCCAAAACAGCAAAAAAAAAAATAAAACAAATAAAACAAATACAGACATAGTGAAGGATGAACTGGGTATAAGTGTGCACTAGTGGGCACTATTTTAAATTTCTGACTAAAGACTAAATAACATTTTGGGGAGATGTGTATCATACTGTCTCTAATACTTTCACTTGGTACAGAATTTGTTGATGCCCCATAGTAAAATATGCTACATAAATCAAGTTTTAGCCTACTTCCTACCTTCCTTGCTCGCTTTCTGTGAGAAAACCAATGTGGAATAATCACTTCAACCAACCAGCCCGGTTATTGAAGTGCATTAAACTACTTAAACACAACAATATATATGTGTAGACAGCTATTGGACGGAGAGGACCCATCAACATAAAACCAGAGCTGACACTGTGGTTTGCAAAGGTCCAGCGCGAGGAGGCACATTGAGCGCGCGTGATGTAACCCAACATGTGAGGCACCGCCCCCCCCCGGGCGCGAGACCGCTTTAAAATAACTGCCTGATGTGCGCGCACAAGGCAACTTCCTAGCGACTGCACGGCACGGCACGGCACAGAGGAGCATAGGCAGTCGTCGTTTTTGCGTTCAGAAAAGGAAGCGAGACCATGTCGTACACTAAGTTTCTCGCCGCTCTGGTGAGGGCAAACTCGGGCAATGTCAACAAAATACGCGTCTCACCTGGAAGATGTCGGTCGACTGTGGCATCCACCAAGAACCAAGAGGAGAAAGAGCGGCCGATGGATGGCTGCACCGTGGTGGAGGCTGTGCCGGTCGAAATCATCAGCCAGACCAAAAGTGTTGCGGATACGAAGTTAAACAAAATCCACATTGACTTCGACAACACCCAGGAAGCTTACAGAAGTAAAGGTAACTTTGAACTGCTTCGAAGTCTGCTGGTCTTTAAGCTTTGCACTATCGACGTCCTCGTTGAAAAGAACAAAGAGGTGAGTTGATTCATTTATTTCACAAGAAAACCCCCTGTTTTTCAAATTTCGATGTACGTTATGTGCGTATAACTGCGTAATAATCAGTCCTATTTGACTATATGTGCTATTATAATGGTGCAGAATAATGAACTGACTGTCCTTATTGTTTTGGTTTCAGTTGATGGAGCTGACTAAGAAGTTGTTTGGTCAGTGGGTGTTTGAGAAGATGATGAAGATGACCTTCTATGGTCAGTTTGTGGCAGGGGAAGACCACAACTCCATCAAACCTTTAATTCAGAAAAACCAGGCCTTTGGTGTGGGGGCAGTTTTAGACTATAGTGTTGAAGAGGACCTGACACAAGAGGAGGCGGAGAAGAAGGAAATGGAGTAAGTACTGCAATGTTTACATGTGACTGAGCAGGACTTTAGTAAAGACTACAATGCAGGTTACTTTCTCATTAAGGGTCGTAGTTCACATAGTAAGACATGTTGCACTGAAGTTTTAAACTGAAGCACAGTTAACCAGTCTCTCAACTTAAATATATACCATATGTGCAGGAGGAGGAGTCATGTATGAGTTACATAACACAGTAAACTGAAAAGGCATGTTGAATCAAGCTTGCTCAGGCCGTTATAAATCCACAGCAGTATCAGTTTCTGGTCCAGCCCTTGCTCTGTATACAAGTAGGCATTCTTTAAAAAAACAAACTTGGGAAACTGGAAGAAACTGGAAGAGCCCTTTTAAAAGAGAGTACCCTGCCCCCACCCCACTTTATCCATGGTTGTACTAGGAGCTACATTTGCAATGCAAGAGCATTTACAGGAATAAAATGAGTTGCAATAAATAGATCATAACAGAAGTTCTGAAGACTTTTCAGATAGAGCAAGTCTAAACACACAGTTATTTAATAATGGAATAAATACCTACTAAACTATTTAGTCATTGCCTTTACACCAAAGACTTAAAGAGAATGTTATTTAAAGGTTAATGGGCACGTTAACTTTAACACTTTGACTCTGTGACTTTGGAATACATATTACAGGGACATTTTGTCCTTGGGTCCCCCTAAGGGTTAGACCAAGCACGTTACAGGTCTACATCATAAGGGTCATTTCACTATTCAAATACAGTATAGTCAAATCACTTCATACTCTGAGTGTGAACTTTTCTCTCTGTCTGTATTACATATTGCCCCTCTGCTTTTACTCATGTATTTATTTACACACACAGAACACAGTGTCTAAAACATTTAAGTTAGCTGTAGTTCGATATCAGTTCATTCTTGTCACTTCTATTATGGCTTCTTTTATACCGCCCATAAAATAAACAGGAGTCACATTGTCCACATAAACAGGCTGAAATTGAAACCCAATGTGTTTTCAGCAAAACAGTGCCTGTCCTCTATTGGTCGGCTAGGACAGACCCCTCTACACTGATTGGTTGAGCTGGTTTTTCCTCTAGGGGATGTAACGCATGAAAAGGCTGCCAGCCTTTTAGAGTAATATCCTGGATCCCTTCATGGGGCACACACACGGAAGAGTTACGCAATGTCCTGGGGAGAAAATAAGCTTATTATCTCACTAAGCATGAGCATACAGATGCTGAACTAAATCCAAACACATTAGGAGCCAATTATCTTTATCAAGACTCTTTTAAAATTCCCCAGAAGAAACGACTTTTAGCTCCATGAAGAAAACAACACAGTGAAAACAGTGCTTCTCATGTCACGGCATGCCTAGAAAAGAAGAAAAACAACTGCATGAAAAAGTCTGAGCAAGACTGGTTAAAAATGACTGAAATGAAAACATACAAACTCCTTTCTTTCTTCTTAGATCACAGTAGAAAAATCTTGAAACCCTCCTGTGTTTTACCATTTGCATACTATCTAATTCATTAATTGATTTATAACAATGTCAGTGACAAAAAGTTATGAAATATGTATTTGTTGTGTAGAAAAGTAAACTATTGTTCCATTCTGATGTTATTTTTTTTCCTTCTTTGACAGTTCGTGTGTTTCTGAAGCAGAGAAAGTCAGTCGAGGTTTGTACAGTATATCAGTTGAAAATAACTTCATTGTTTGTAATGTAGCCTAACTATTTGATTTTCAAATGTGTTGCATTATCAGCTACTGCATGCTTCATTGACTAAGATAAGGTAAGACAGAACTGTATTTATTCCGAGGGAAACTGTTCCAGTACAAAGTAGGAAAGAGTGCTAATATAAAGTGTATTTTAAAAAGGTTTTTTTTTTTTTAATTAAACACATATTCAAAATCCTAAATATACACAGTGCCAACATTAAAAAGAAAGGCTGTACCGTTAGCAGGCAGGGCCAGCAACTGGTGAGACTGAACTATTGGTTTGCTGTGATATTCTGTTGCTTTAGCTTGGCCTGAACTTAACGTGTGTCAGGGTTGTTATGTGTGCCACCATGTGGTCCAGCCTGGACAACACTGGTTAGATCTGGATTTAGTGGCGTCTGAAACGTCTAGTCCCCTGGATGCAGTGAGAAGAAGCTTGGTTCATGTTACAGGGTTGATGTTTGAAACTCACATATATCATTTAATCATTTACTAGTGCTTCTCCTGGTGCTGTTCAAACTATGATGTGGCAATGAATGCTAATGTATCAGTAAATAAGTAAGTCATTTAACAGTTAGTCCTAAATACATATTCTTAGTATCACACCTTCTGGTAGTTGCATTTGTGATAATAATAGTGCTGTTATAGTGTTAGTAATGAGATACATGTCGAGACAGACATTTCAGACTAGAGGTTCAGATAGCTGTTAACCTCCAACTAAAAGAATAATTCACAAACTGTTCCCATAAATCATTAATAACATAAATAAATAAATGTACAGGATTATTAAAGCATGTAGGATGAAAAAATTCTGCTGAACATTCTGTTGCTTTGGCTTAACTTATCTTGTTGATAGAAATGTGATCATTTCTATCTAATTAACAGCAGTTCAAAATATAAAATGCAAAAAAAATGTATCAAAAATCCAAAATATGAAGGGAAAAAAGGTTTACGTGGGTGGTGAAAACCTTTTTCCATGTCAAGCAGCTAATGTTACCTTCTCTTCATTTCAGATGGTGATCACCGTGAGAAGAAGTACAAGGCCCACCGTCAGTTCGGGGACAGACGTGGAGGGGTTATTAGTGCTCGTACCTACTTCTATGCAGATGAGTCCAAATGTGACAACCAAATGGAGACATTCATAAACTGCATTAAAGCCTCTGGTAAGTAGTAAGGTTTGTGAGGCAGCAATTAAGAAACATAATATTTATATACAAACCATTCAAACTGTTGTAAAAGAAAAAAAAAGATAAATTTGCAATCTAAATGATGAGTTATATGACATCAAGTGAGATAAAATGTGTCATAAATTTCAGGGGGAGCCTCAGCAGATGGATTTTCTGCCATCAAAATGACCGCTCTCGGACGCCCACAGTTCCTCGTAAGTTGATGTCTTCAATATTAACTGAAATATTACAGTGTATTACAGAAATCGGATATGGCCGAGTGGCATGGATTGGGAAAAACATATCTACCAGATGTAAAACTAACAAACAGTTTATTAGCACAAAATCGACATTACATGGTAAAAGGAAGATAAATCATTAGCCATTTATCTATCTTTTTATGATTAGAGTCAGGGCCAAATGATTAGTATGATCGTTACTAATTCTAATAGCATCTAGAATTATCTTACATTGCAGGAGAATCAGGTAAGAGGGAAAAGAAAGACATTTCTGATGATGGATTCACACCTCAGTGTCACACTGCCATTACATCCTCAGACGGAAAGTGAATGATGTGCTAATTGACAGTGAGCAAGAGGTGTGATTTTCTGTGGATACAATACTGTGTCCCGCTAATCTCGTCACAATATGATTCAAATGCAGTACTATAAGTTGATCATTGATGAATTGTTCTGTGTTTGAACAGCTCCAGTTTTCAGAAGTCCTGGTTAAATGGAGACGGTTCTTTAACTTCCTCGCAGCACAGCAGGGAAAATCTGAAATGATGGTTCTGGAACAAAAACTGGAGCTGGAACAACTCAAGGTGTGTCTTACCTTCAGCAAGTCTAATGCAGGTTAATGCATGCCCATCCATAACAGGTTCCCCCCAAATGTTGTTGTTGTTTCTAAAATGCTCTTTAGATGTGCTTTTAGGTTCCGTATGCTTTGTTAAAACAATAATCAGCTGCAATATATGTTTGTTCTTAATCATTTTTAATCATTTGAAATATTTCTCTGTAGGAAAGTTTGACTAAGATGGGTGTTGGAGCCAAGGATGATATTGAGAACTGGTTTACTGGAGAGAAGCTGGGTTTGTCAGGGTAAGATAATCACTCAAGTGCAATAACAACCACAAAAACTTCTACTTCTGTACATATATACACATTAATACCTCTGTATATATTGTCACGACCCGGCTCTTAAGTCATGACAAATATGGGAGATACACCACTTTAAGGAATAACAAAAAGATAATTTATTGAACAAAAGTCAAATTATGAAATGAACAACTAAATACTTTAAATATAGAGTGTGAATACTCAGCTATACCGTCAGTAGTGTAACGGTGGCATGACGGGAATAATGTGTGCGTATGTTTCACAGTGTACAAAGTAAATATAAGGGGAGGCGCTGCAGTCTCAACACCCACTGGAACGCGTGCCCTGCAAACGAAAAGAACCACAAACTTAATACCAACAACAACTTAGACCTAGAATGGGCCACAGGGCCTTGATTATATAGCCTGGGAGCACCAGGCCCAGGTGTTCCCAGTTGGCACCAATTAACCCCCAGTCTGACCTGGCACAAACAAACACCAAACACTCAGTGACCCCAGGGGGCGCTACAATATACATCAACAAAACAGAGCTTTAAGTTATTGGGTTCCTGGTAAATCAGTAAAAACAACATTATTAAACAGTATTTAGCTGGAAATGCTAACTACATAGTATCAAAAGACCTGTGGTTCAGCCTTCTTAACACTAGTTCAATAAATTTAAAGTATGTTTTGCTAGAATTTCACATACTCTAATATACATTTTCACACATCTAATTTGCAGAACGATAGATCTGCTGGACTGGAACAGTTTGATAAACGATACAACAACCATCTCCAATCTGCTTATGGTGCCAAACCTTGAGGTGAGTCATTGTCATGTGAAGGGGCAAAAATGTAATGTTTGCGGTAGTTCAGTAAGTGTACGGAAGTGTTCCTCAGTTTTAAAGCAGTCTGGTTATCTATTATCTGTATACTGTCAGCTGTGCAATAAACAGGCCTTAATATAATCTTCAGAAGGGCACGTCTCCAGAAGTGATACAGCATTTGATAGCCCATTGTATGATGGCAATTTTCTGTTTTTTAACATTTCAGACCCTGACAATTTTCAGAGCAATGTAATTACATGATTAATGGTGTCATGAACTGATAGTGAGATACATTTGTAAAATAGGTGTGGGTAAGAAAACAGTTTTCGTTTCACATTAGAATTCCCTGGTATAAGTTGATACAAGTCTTTCTGATATAAGAAATTGATGTTCTTCCCACAAGATAATAGGTTGGTGGCACGGTATCATATCTCCCTGCCACAAGTAAATATTTGTTCTAATGAGGTAACATACTATCATTTAGGACTTGTAGTGATCTGTACATTTCTGCAGTGTGTAGTAGAGTCGAGTCTTAGTGCACATATTAATGTAGCCAGTGCTATTGAGGGCAGTTGAGAAACACCCATCTCCTGCCCTGCCTGTCACATACTGATATAGTTTGAAAGCAAATGCCAAATGATTCGATGTTCTGTGCGTTGATTGTGCAGACACGCAAGCTGGAACCTTTGTTGAACACATTTACAGCTGAGGAGGAGCGGCAGATGAAGAGAATGCTACAGAGAGTGGACGTCCTGGCCAAGGTAAGGATGAAAAGTACATTTATTAAGTAGTTTTAAGAGCTGGTATAGAAATCTTCGTCCCCTCTTTCTTCCCCCTTTTCTTTCTAAAAAAGGCATACAACGCATGGGAAAATTTACTTTTTCATGCAACCAGAACTGTAAGATCTGCATTTGTATTCATCACAGTCGCTGTAACATCCAACATCACATCTCTCCGTTTACGTTTACAACCCTACTATCTAGCGGTTGGGAGTTTAAACACAAATACTGATACAGTCTTTATGAGAATCGATACAATATCACAAAATATTCATATTTATATACTTACACCCCTTGTTTGTCTTGAACTTTAATGATGAGTTTCACTTATATATAGTCACATAAACTGTAAATACGCTTCTTCTGTGTGCCCCAGCATGCCGTGGAGAATGGAGTGAGGCTAATGGTGGACGCCGAGCAGACATACTTCCAACCAGCTATTAGTCGACTGACCCTGGAAATGCAGAGGATATTCAACAGAGAGAAGCCGATCATTTTCAACACATACCAGTGTTACCTCAAGGTGACATGTCATATTTTTGGAGCACTTATCCAGGACATGTTTTCCATTGATGCACGCTGCCCTGTAAGGACTGTTTGCATGTAATCATATCCTCTTGTGTTTTTTAATACTTTTAGGAAGCCTATGATAATGTAACTGTGGACATTGAGCTGTCACGACGGGAGGGCTGGTACTTTGGTGCCAAACTGGTTCGAGGAGCGTACATGTATCAAGAGAGAGACAGGGCGAAAGAGATTGGTTACGAAGACCCAATAAACCCAGACTATGAGGCCACTAACAGGATGTATCACAAGTAAGTGTTGAATTATCATCGAGGCCCTTTATAGTCCTGCTAGAAAATGTCTAAATCCTGACCATCTGCCCTGTCGTTTGTCCAGGTGCTTGGAGTATGTGCTGGAGGAGATCGAACACAGCAGGAAAGCAAATGTCATGGTTGCGACACACAACGAGGACACAGTGAAATATACCCTAGAAAAGTATGTTTTGTCTCATGTTTAGACGTAGAACATTGGGCATATGTTAAGTGCTAATTTTGTTTAAAGATACACAAAAGCCATACGTCTTTCATTCATTAAGGATTAATCCTAATGGTTTGAACTAATGCCGAGGATATTGCTCTCATTGAAACGCATTCTTTGTCAACTTTCCAAAGCATTTATAGGATTTACAGAAAGATATTTCCACATTAGTGGTAGAATACTACACTCCTGCTCTCATTATATAACGTGTGCTTTCTTTCTGTTTTTCCAGGATGAATGAGATGGGCCTTTCACCCACTGAGAATAAGGTTTACTTTGGACAGCTGCTGGGAATGTGTGACCAGATCAGCTTCCCACTAGGTATGTTAACACTCTGCTTACGTAGTAAAAGTAGACAGTAAGTTACCGGACGCTTATGTCACATAGTCATGTGACTGTAGAGATTCCACTGAAATGTGGTCCCTTCGCACGTCAGTTTTGCAACACTCACGTGGCCACTGACCTTACAAATAGTCTGACCAATCATTTGATAACAAACATAACTGAATGTCTCAGCTGTCTCTTACCAAATGCTGTGTGAGTTGAGTTCAGCAGAGATGCACCCTGTTAGTCTAAACACTACCCAAAATTGTTAGACAATAGTTAGACAAAATGCTTTATGTAGTAGTAGTTTAAAAAATATGTGGCTTATTTTGGCTTGTTACTCTGTCTCTATTCCAGTATCACATATTTTTAAATGTCACTTACGCCCATAGTAACAAACAATAGGTAGTTAAATTGTTGGCGCACAAAAGGCGTAAGTGACGTTTCGGCTAAAAAGTTGTATTTTTGTAGTTAAAAAAATAATAATTCTTTAAAATATGGATTCTGTGAAGCCTAATCTCTATAAAAGTGTAGATTGCTCAAATATGTTGTTTTTAATCAAGTAATTACAATCAATGAAAAGTTTGTTTTAGCTCTCCTGTAAAATTCTGAAAATGTGGCTTACACCCCTTGTGCTCCAAACCCTCGACATGATATAACAAAAACAACAGTCAAATCAGTCTTTGCTTTGTTTTTTTCTGCCCTTGTCTGTGGGACTTGACATGTGTTGTATCAGTAAACACTTGAGAAAATGTCAGTATACTGTACATGATAACTTTTTCAGTTGTTCCCAAACGGATTTTCTCAGTATAAAAGAAACCCTAAACAAAAAAAGTATTTCTTGGCAATTATAAAGATAATTTCTAAATGTCATGCCAATGTGAAGGGCACTGAGCTTTGATTAAAAAAATGTGTGCAAACAATGGCGCAATGACGTGCTGATCAGTTTCTCAAGCGGTGATGGGTAATTCTGTGGCAACCCCGACCTTTCTTCTATTAGTGAGACACAAGGGTAGGTTTGACCTTGTCAAATCACTTGATATGTAATATCAAAGCCCCATTTTACATATCAATGTTATCTAAATACAATATTTATTCACCATAAATGCAATTCTAAATAAAAATGATAACAGGTTTATTTCATATAAAATTAAATAAAATGTTATTTGTAGTGCGCCAAAGCAGACTATTGACCGAGACCCAACATATGAATCGTTTTTAACTGTATGAGCTGTTGTACTATATTAAAAGCTCATTTAATGTGCCTTGTAACTATTCTGTCTATTTCCCAGCTGCATCCATATTTATATTCTGCTGTTGGACATTACATTTTAAGTCATGACTTGCAGTGCATACATGGTTGCATTGAATTAAAATCTGTCCCCCTGCTCTGTGTTGAAAACAGGTCAAGCAGGTTTCCCAGTTTACAAGTATGTCCCATATGGCCCTGTCAACGAGGTCATTCCCTATCTGTCTCGCCGTGCTCAAGAGAACCGTGGTTTCATGAAGGGATCCCAGAGAGAGCGTAGCCTGCTGTGGAAGGAGCTGAAGCGCAGGGTGCTTGGTGGTCAGATTTTCTACAAGCCTGTCTACTGAGTCACAGGACCACAACATAGTAACTGCAGTGTAAGCATTCCGTCGTCTCTACTGTACCACTACCTGGTAGCTGCTCTTCGTAGAATAAGTGGAATGTCTTTCCTTGGCTTAAGCTGCACAGTGTGGAGGAAAGTTATGCAGTGTTACTGACAAGTGTGATACGATTTGTGACTGGGATTTATTTTGCTTTTAGTTTCTCTAAATCATCAAATCAGAATTAGTTTATTTAATTCAAAAATTGCTTATCCTCAGAATCAACTCAACAAAAAATATTAAAACGTTCTCCTTTTTTGAAGAATGTTTATGCCTCAATTAATCCTTTTATGATGTACAGCATGGAATAATTCACTGGAGGTTCAAGTATATTGTGTATGTATGGTTACCAAAAGTGGCTTAGTTGTATATAAAAGTTGTCTTTTGCATTTTTTATTGGTAAAGGATGCTCTGTGTATGTTTTGTTCAGTGTCACTTGAAAGTGCCTTATGATTGTTAACTGGAAGCAATCAGTTACTGTATAACTTTGTTTTTGTTACTGTACACTCCTCCAAGGGAATTGTAATTTTGTAAATTATGTTAGCTGTTTATTGCTGATACTGTGTCATTGTATCTGTATTCATATTCTTGGTTTTAAGTATGTTGTCCATAAAAGCATAAACAGTAAATGCAGCATCACAAACCAGATAATACTCTTTTTGATCCCTCATAAAAGCGCAAAATGCAAAGTGAGTTTCTAATTATGAACTGCTCAGGTTCCTGTACCATGAATGTGTGCAAACAAGCCTAAACTACTGTTACTTGGAAGTGATTGTTTGCCATAGCTAGCCTTTTTTTCTCCCCCTTTTATTGTGTGCTGGGCAGCACAAGGCTGAAGAGTGACTCAGTGTGATCCATTTCACAGAATCATTCACACCTAGTGTAGACAAGAACATCTTCTCTTTCAAACAGAAACAATAACTGCAACAGATGTTCAACGTGGGAATAACAGGAACTGTTAGGTGTCCTGTTTTCCTTCATGTTCCAAGAATTCCTTGCTCTGGTTATGTTCAAAGAAAACTGCACCCAAGATCTCAAAGAACACCTGCATTGTTGCATAAGCGGCATGGGAGGAGAAACCGCCTGTGAATTGAGTTGTTTTTTGTTGAGAACGATTTCAAAGATACTGGTTCTGTCAGTATCTCTGGTTTCAGTGCTGCCGATAGCTTTTGAATCATTTTTATGTTCTGTTGAAAATATACAGGGTGTTTTTAGGGGAAACCACAAAAGCTTATTGTCGTTTAAGTTGGTCTCAATGTCATAATAACACAATACCAGTAATATAACTACTGTACACACACTGTATTGTTGTGAGGGGTTGAAATGTACAATAACCAGCTTGGTTTATGCTCCTGTTCCAATAGGGAAAGTAGAAGAAACCCTTTCATTTTAATGTCTCTCACTGACACACACTGGCATATATTTTAAGTACTTGAGCAGGAATTTGATTGCATTTCCTTTGATGTTTTTAATTCTCTTGTGTTTGGTTTCCTCATTATTGCTGTATCAGTATAGCATATCTTGTACAGTTGTGAAACATATGTAATTATTGATTAACACAATAAAATGCAGTTAATATATAAAACAAACCGGAATTGTGTTGTAGTTTTGCTGCAAGTTAACATCACTGAGCTTCAAATATGTCACATTTCTTAGTGGTTGGGGGAGGATCTGTAGACTAAACTTAAAGGCTAAGACAACATAACATTCACAGCAAGGCTGTCTGTTACCCTTACCCCAGACTGCTTAGATCAAACCCTGATCTGATCTGTTGGTGACATAGATCTGGCTGCCCTCACTGACATAGTCTGATGTCAGTGACATCAGTAACTATGCCACACAGAAGCTAGTGGGCTCCCTGTGCCAAATTGATGCGACCCGCTGAATCAGAGATGATTCCCAGCCAAAGTCAACAGCAACTGAGGCAGCACCTGCGTCCAGGTATCTGGAGACAGACACAAAAACAGTTGGCCAGCCCCACAACACAACACACAGCTAGGTTGAGGCAAAGCACATTTGGTAGATTTATTTATCTGTACAGCTAGATGTTATATAGTTTTGTTATCTCATTGTTTTGTCAATTCATCTCAGTTCAAATCCTGCATATTGGTATTTGTCCAGGCTCCTCCATTCTGAATTCATAAATAAGCCTATTTACAACAAGCAGTAATGTAGAGGTGCACCACCCAGCACAGCCTATTTCACAAACCAATTCAGGCCCTGTGGGAGGAGAATTTAGATGACATCTTCAGTCCTCTCAGCCAATGAGATATGACCTCAGGGAGTGTGTTCAACATGCTCAACAGTGTAGTCACCTTGTAGAAAACCTTCAGCCCGACACTGCTAATGCTGTCATCTGCAGGTAAATAAAGCTCTCTGTTTTTCTGTATTTATTCCACACATAGTTCCACATATTGTATTCTTTGATTTATGGTATCATTTACAATCTGGCTGTTTTGATATTCAAGTTTAAAGTTTTGGGATAATGGGTCTACAGAATTATTTCAAAGAAAGACATTGTGCAGCCAAGTTTCTTTCAATCGAGTTTTTTTAATTCATGTACTACATTTCCGCTATGAACACACATATATTAAAAGGTATTTTTATGAAATGTAAAAAATGACACGACTTCATGACTATCATTGTCGAAGATAAGAAGTTAGAGCTGGTATGCAAAGGAACACACCTTCCCATGTGTTACCACCTACTAGAATTTATCTGGAATATTTTTTCACTTTTTTTTATCAAGCATAACCATCTACCCAGTGCCACTGGTTGAATACTGTTTTGATATTTAGCCATTTTTGTGAGCACTAGGCTGTTATAACATGCTTGTACTTGCTTTTAATGGGTTTTTCCATTTCTGCTCTTTGTTGGAAAGGTAATCTAAGAACCACAAACATGTTTTTGTGTAAACATGGGGGCTCTGTGTTTTATTTGGTGATGCAGCAGTTTTTGCTTTTGGCTGATCTGTTTTATTTCATCTCTACATTCCTTTTTCTTATTTTACTGTTAGATCATATAGCTCTTTTTTTCCAGTAGCAATTAAAAATTCAGGCCTGGGTTTTTCACAAATACATAATAATTATTAAGGGATGGGGTGATGTAAGTGGGTAATTAGTTGTCCCGTGTGTAAGAATTGCCGCAGGGCATTACAATTGTTTATGAGCTTTGTGAAGTTGCTCCTGTGCAAGAACACAACACTTACCCACCAGAGAGGTATGTATCCAAACTTTAAATCCGTATTGGTCTTTTCCCTGTAATGTTTTCCTCATACGTGTATGCTCTCTTATTTCATTTTCAGGCTCCCTTTTGGGTTTTGACGATGTGTAGCATGAAAGGAAAAAAGGGCACACTTGTAATGCGACGGCTGATTCTCTGGGTTTTGTTGACCAACATCATACTGGTGCTGTACTGCTTGACAAACTCAACCAAAGTGAAGATTAGGTAAAGATTTACAAAGAAAGCATTATTTTATTGAGCTAAGTCAGTTGATTTGTATTTGTTTATCCATTATGTTTCATTTATAGGGGCTTCCAAGAAGACACCTGTCCTCTCAGTATGGTCAAATTATTGAAGCAAAATGTGACCACGCCTGCTCAAAGCACAAAATCCCAGTCAGAAGAGTGCTCCCCCACAGTGGACATCATGTTCATGAAGACCCATAAAACTGCTAGTAGCACTTTACTCAACATCCTCTTCAGATTTGGGGAAAAGCACAAGCTTAAATTCGCCTTCCCTGATGGACGCAATGACTTCTTTTACCCATCGCCCTTCCGGTGCTCCCAGGTGAAGGACTACAGGCCTGGAGACTGTTTCAATGTTGTTTGTAACCACATGCGCTTTGACCATCAAGAAGTAGCCAAGCTCCTGCCTACAGATGCTGTGTACATCACCATCCTACGTGACCCCGTGGATCTCTTTGAGTCATCCTTTCATTACTATCACAGAGCAGTTCCTCTCACGTGGAGGATCAATGGAATTGACAAACTGGCAGAGTTTCTAAACAGTCCTCAGACCTTCTACAGCCCAGACGCTTTCAACTCATTTTATCTTAAAAATCTGCTCTTTTTTGACTTTGGTTTTGATAACAATCTGGAGGCTGATGATCCTCGTGTAATGAGGCATATTCATTACTTATCGAAACATTTTGATCTGGTTCTCATATCAGAATATTTTGAGGAGTCTCTTATCCTGCTTAAGGACACACTTTGTTGGACCATGGAGGACATCCTGTTCTTTAAACTCAATGCTCGGAGGAGCTCATCTGTGTCTCGACTGACCCCTGAGTTGAGAGCCAAAGCTTTACAATGGAACGGGGCTGACTGGAGACTCTATAAGCACTTTAATGCAACCTTCTGGGCCAGAGTGGAGGCGTACGGGAGAGAAAGAATGAAACAGGAGGTAAACGAGCTAAGGAGGAAAAATGCGGAGATGGAGGCCATTTGCATTGAGGATGAAGGTGCAGTTGAAGCCCAAAAGATTCAGAACAGGCGTTTCCTGCCCTGGCAGCCACTTGGAGAATCTTCCATCCTCGGGTACAACATGAAGAAAAATACTGATCCCAAATACAGGACAATCTGTGAAAAAATGCTCACACCTGAAATACAATACTTATCAGACCTGGGCGTAAGCCTGTGGCTTACTAGACTATGGGGTTGGTTAAAAGATGCTGTTTTTATAGTTGAACTTTGATTAAAATGCAACATGGGTTGCTGGATAAATTGTCAATTTAAAACACTTTTTAATAAATTACTTTTTATAGCTTTTATTTTGAGTGATACTTATTCCATTTTTTTTTTTACCTGAATTCTCATTTGGCAGCATGGAATGTGTTACACTCAAAAAACATTTACCAAATAGATCTGCAGATGGTTCTTCGTTCTATCCGATACCTCATCATCTGTTGGCCATTCATTGCTTCTCACAGTTTGTTGTATCTTTCAACATTTTGCACTACATAAAGAATTCTAAACTGTGTGTTTACACTCTTTAAAATGGCACAATAATATTCCTCTATGTTGTTGTAAGTATTCTGAAGTTCATATTTGTCTCCCCGGTAAGATTTTCATAGTTAACGTTTCAGCAATATTGTGCAAAGCTTATTTGCTCGATTGTCCACTGCAAGCACAAATGTTTCTGCTCTAAGTTTTCTATTTCAGGAGACATAACGGAACATAGTTGCTGTGGGCTCTGGTGCTTTTTGTTGAGGCAACAGGATTCAAAACAGAGTGTGACAGCCACCAGTGATCAATGAGTGACAGCTATACTGTTGTTCAAATTACAATTCTTACTCAGTGTTAGTGTGCCTCCTAGAGGCCTGAAGCTCAGGTGTAGTTGTATGCAGCGCATTTCAATGGTAGTGGCATTGCCTTACCCTAGTTTACATAACATAACCTCGTCATTGACATTTCTGTCAACATTTAAAAGCTTTATCATTATATGTGGAGAGAAGTTGAGTTTAACAAATTAATTTTTGTCATCACAGTATCTGTGGCACATAAGGCCTTGTCTGTAGAACCCATCTTGAACAAAGATGCTTTCTCTGCATTGTGAAAAATAAGTTAAAAAAAGTTAGTTCTTGGGGTAAAAGTAATAACTTATGTAGGTGCTTGAAGCTACAAAAGCTGACACATGGTAGCTGTTTGCAGACCTTATGTAGTGTTGTGTGCTTCAGAAGCATCATTTGAATACACTGCAGCAAAACTGATACTTGTATATGTTACTGGTATAACTGAACTCTGCCAGCCTGGCAGTGATGCTCTTTGTAAACTTGCTTCAAAATATACTATGTAAACATGTTATTACTGTATGACATTGCATTACTCATTAGTCTGTCATAAATGTTATTATGTCAAAACCTATTAAACAGCTGCTGGCATATGAAAGCACACAAGTATCCATCCCTTGTATATTCTGAAAGCTCGCAAACATAGCAAATGGAAATGCTTCAGTTTTACTAGAAACAACTCCTTCAATCAAAAACCCTTCTTTGTTCTTTCACCAAGTACTCAGCTGATCTGTATATGAAGCTAATGACACACTTTAAGATAACATAATGTGGCTACAATGTATGCCTCTCAATATAAAACTAAAATCAATTCAAAGAAGTTAAAACAAAGAGGCAGAACCGATCTAATAAATATGCTTTGACGATTATACTGCCACTAAACACCATAAATCAAAACACTGCCACACCTGTAAGACATTAACACATGTTTAATTTAACCATTTACAATCTGTGAGGAGAACGAAGCCATTACAAATGACAGGGAGGGTGAGACGAGGGGACCACTGCTCCATCTTCATGGTGGTCAGTCAGTCAGCTCCCACAGGTCCTCTGGTCGCCGCTGGCAGCCTGGGCATGACTTTGGGCAAAGTGTCCATGTTGACTGATACTTGTTTCAGGTGTGGATGGAAGAATGGAGGAAGGAAGTGTGACAACAGTTGCACTTCAGCCTTAGATAACCCCGCTGCCGCGTCCTATTCCTCGTCGTTGTTCTGGTAATTGTGTTCAATGTGTTTCCATAGTTTCTGCAATAAAACGACACATTATGTAAGCTTGGACATTTCATATAATCAGATTTGCTGTAACAACAAAGCCCTACAAGGACGCGACTGCTCGGCGTAGCGGCCGGGGCTAGCTTAGCTAACGTTAGCGCCGCTTCGCCCTCTGCTAACAAGGTCAGGATGAAACAAGCATTAAAACACCAGAGGACGCACTTACCCCGCGATTCATTTGTTCAAAGATCGCGTCGCCACCTTGGTCGAATAGCCGCTCAAAGAAGACTGCTCCAACCATGATGGTAATGGCGAAAGTGGATGTTCTCCTGAAGAGAAGATTGTAGACGGACTTCGTGAGCGACATGTTCGCGGCTTGGTACGCACTGCGCATGAGCGGATGTCAACGTAACACGTGACGCTTCCAGGCCAGGCTTTTTGATGCTTTTCGTCCCTGCAAAGACGCCGTACTTGATCAATGTGGAGCGCACAGTAGGATTTGGTTTGTTTTTGTCTTGTTCGAAAGAGGAGGACATCGCTGTTTCGCTAATGGTTTGTGCTCTTTGTCGTTTAAATTCACTGTACACAGGGACTTAACGCAAACGTTCACTGGTGTAACAATAAGCATGTGAGCTAACGTAGCTAGATAACTATCTATTTTACCGACGCAATACACACTTTTAGGGGTGTTTGTGTTTTCTACAAGCATCAAACTGCTCGTTTACATGGTCATTATATTTATAAACCTCTTAAACTTTTTGGGATAATCAGTAGTAGCATCAGAGTGGAAGAGGAAGTCATGCCAAGGCATATTCAAAATAAAAGTTGTTTTAAACGATGCACCTTCATTACTAAACCAGTAGATGGCAGCAAAAGAATTGTACTAATACCACTTGTGTATGATAATGCTCATGTTGTTGGTGTTCTTTAAAGTAGATATTAGGATGGTTCCAGTTTCTGCCTCTCATATAATCAGTTTTAATCCAGGGCCAAACATGTAATCTGTTAGCAGGTATGTGTGACATGAATGCAAAAGTATTTAATGCAGAAGTAGACAAACTTGCATTGATGCGCAAATTTTAAATGTCAAAACAGATCAATACTAGGAACACGAATAGGCTCAAATTAGGTCTGCTACATGTTTCATACTGGTTGTTTTGTGGGGGGGCTTTTTAGTGTAGAAAAATTTGTTGATTCATGGATTAGTAATTAGTACTCAAACATTTATTTTTAGATGTTTTCATTGTTTGCTGGGGTGCAGCTTTTTAAAATATGAGAGTTTGCTGTTGTTCTCTGTTTTCTGTCACTGTAAATGAAAAATCTTTGGATTTTAGGGCAAAACAAGAATATTAAGACATCTTGGGCTATGAGAGATTGTGATTGGCATTTTTGACTATTTACATTTTATAGACTAAACAATTCATGAATCAGAAAAATAATCAACAAATGTATTTATAATTGTTTGGCTAAACTCCTCTGTTTTTGTTAGGAAAGACATGGCCTTGTTTTGCTAATGAATCAGCTTGTGCGTAATGATGCGTAACATGACAACGCTCACTCAGTTGATGTTGTATCGGACAGAAACCATTTCAGTTTAGCACAGCCATTCACTCACATGTGTTGACAGAGCAGTTATGTAAAATGATTTCCTTTTCTGTTCACTGTCTCTCAGCAATTTAAAAGGTGACATCTTCTTGCTGGTTTGAACGCATAACCCTGCACCATGGGGAGGAGATACTACTGTGACTACTGCGACCGGTCCTTTCAGGACAACATGCATAACAGGAAGAAACATCTGAATGGGGTTCAGCATCACAGAGCTAAAAAGGCCTGGTTTGACCATTTCAGAGGTGAGACTTCCACTTAAACCTCTGAGATGTGGTCGCTGTGAAAAACAGACTACAGGTTATATTTCATAACATATGATGATGATGATTTTTTTTGTCTTATGTTTTATGATTTACTATTTAAAATGCCAAGTCTTCAGTGAGAATGATGAGATTTTGATTAGAGAATTAAGAATGCTTACATTTCATTATGTCATCTTGGCTGCCCACCTATTTACTTTACGATGGAAGATTATATCATCAACCATGGACACACTATCATTTTTCCTTTTACAGACTCTTCAGCCATTCTGCATGATGAGCAAACAAAGAAACCTTGCAGGAAGTTTCTCCAAAAAGGTAAGAGAACTGTTTAACCTTACATTTATTCAACAACCAGGTAACTATATACAATTTCATTTCATAATCATCATTTTTTCCCTTTTTTTTTTTAGGAATTTGTGATTTTGGCCCCAACTGCAGGTTTTCTCACATGTCTGAAGAGGATCTGTTTAATTTAAAAAGACAGGTGGAAGGTAAGCTGTAAGCAAGCAGTCTGCCATGCGATTAAAAAACTTTAAGATGAATATGTAACTCATCCTTTAATAATGAGGTGAACATTCAACAACTGGATTTGTTATAGAAATGGATAGCATACGAGCACAGTCACAGCATTACCCAGATGACCCAGATGTGTCAGTTGTGTGTTGATTTTGAGTGAGATTTTACTGGTTTCAGATGAAAGGCAGCTCAGAGAGGACTTTGTAGACAGACTCATGCCTGGGAGAAGTGTCGAAGAATGGCTCGCTAGAAGGGAAAAGAAGAAAACGTCCCAAAGCACCAATGGGTATGCACGTTCATTTTTGACACTTAGTCATACATGGTTAGCATGGCTAATGGTAATTCCTGTTGATTTAGAATTCAGCTTTTCAATTATTTATCTCTGCAGAGGTCCAAAAACTAAGGAAGACAGTGAAGAAAGCCAAGCAGAAAGTGACATACCTCAACAGCTCCTCTCCATTCCCGACCTTCCACCCTCTCTTCTACCTCCTCCTCCAGGCGGATGGAAAGTCAAAGTGAACACAGAATGGGGCTAAAAGATATTCCCTTTGTGGTTCAAATCACTGCTAAGTGGGTGCATGACATTAATAGAAGGATGGTGCAGAATATGTATTTAAAAGATGTTATTAAAAGATTGTGTCACGTTCATATTTGAAGTAACTAGAATCGTCCGTTTGAGAAGAGGTTTTCAGTTAATACTAAAAAGCTGTTTGTTGCCATTTCTCATTTAAAACAATGGGAGAAAAATACATGTTTTATATGCCATATACTATATGTCATGTTTGCTTTATTTAGAAGCGCTATTAATTTATTACATTTTACTGAAGATGTCAAGTTTCTTGTGTAAGAATCGTCCATACAGACAATGCAAAATATCCTTCATAATTGACATTTGGCAGTGTGTTGTTGATTGCTCCTCAATCTCTCCATCTGGAGTAAAGTGCCTTGAGAGTGTGACTCCTCTGAGAGGTTACATTAGATGTCACAAAGTCCAGAAAGGAGTGGAGGATTGCTGAGCAGATGGAAATAATTTTATTTTTATTTTATTTTTTTATCCTGTGTTGCATTGCAGGGGGAATCACTGATATGACTGGGTTTTATTTGTAGCCCAGCCTCTGGAAAACACCCTTTTACTTCCCAAATAGTAAAAGATGACAAACTAATGATCTGGATTAAAGGTTGTTAATACGTCTTTATGAAGCAGCCTCATGCACATCCCTTGGTTTTGTGACTAATGTATTTATAATTATCATTGGCCTTTTAAAGTCCTCAGTTAGGTTATTCCTCTTAACTGGTGTTATGCTGAGATTTATATACTTTCAACCTTTTCCTGTTTTCTGTCAATAGCCATATTTAAGTACTGAGCTTGTGGCTTTATTTTTTTCTATAGCCCTGTAAATCACCCCCCTCTGTAGCAGTAAATTCTATTTATTAAATCTTCCAGTCCATGTACATTAAGGCAACATTAGATCTCTGAAGACTGTTCGGATCCCTCCTGTGAATCATTTGCCCCCTCGCTTAATTTGACAGTCATGACTGAATCACAAAGGTGTTTGCTGTATATTAAAGAAAATGTATGTTACCTCTTTATCCCAGTTTTAATCCTCATACATCTTAACTACTTTACATCCATTGCTACTACGCTCACCACCTACTCTTGTTAGCCTTTACTACAGTCATTTCTTAATTCCAAAGCTTGGGTATCTGTGTAGATGCTACTACATAAAATGGAAGGAACAAGGAAATGGTCTTTCCTTCTTTGCAGGCTGTGCTTTGTTCCTAATGCGTGTTTAACATGCCTGATGGTGCACCGTCAGGGCCATCACACCAACAGATCCTGACTGCTCTTCCATCCTGGTCTGAAATTGTTGAATGAGGAATGAATTCAGAATTTTACTCCATTTCCCTGAAAAGCACCCCCACCCGATCTGCTCTTTTCTCTTATCATCTCTGCTTGATGTTAGTATCAGCTATGTGGGGTATATGTTTACACTAAATGTAAGATTTATCATATCCTTATTTAATTTGTAAAGAGAAAAAGAAACAGCGGGCTTATTTTGAATGCCTTTGTTTTTATTGGAGTACATGCATCTAGACACCACTTACATTAGTGTATAATTGATGCAGTAACCTCTACATGTGCAGTAACAGTTAAAGGAATAAAACAGCGCTGAATAATCTCAGTCTAGACATTAGAATTACTAGTAATGTCACACAGTAGGATGGTACAACAAATATTACCTGGAAAGCTAGAGAAACCTTTATCCGGAAAGGGAGAGAGAAAGATAATACATGAATACTTATTGGTACTCGGATTACTGATGATTCATTTCAATTCAAAAACGCATTTTCCAACAGATTCATTCTCGTCAAAGGTGGTGATTTTTTTTTTAAATGGATTTCCCATCTTTCTAAAAGTCTAAAGCTACCTAAAGTCAAGGCATGGGAGTGCAGTTTTTACTCCAAAGGACAAAGGCACCGAACAGAAGACATCTACAGTCCAAATCAAATTTTATAATAACAATTAAGACAATCCGTCAACAAAGTGTACATAAATCTGCTAATTAAAACACTAACATATAGAATAGGACACAATATTTGCGTATATGTCTTAAGATTTGACACAATAACTATATTTTACATTCACACAAAACCCATACCTTACATGATATGTTTACATGAAGAGGTAATGTGATGTCATATAAGTAGTTCATACATAAACAGCTACCATATATGGGATAAAATATCAGTTTTATTGCCAGAATGATTCTCACTGTTTCACACTTTTCATCCTCTGATATAGCTTTGATAAACTTTAAGATAAAAAGAGCAAGAAAAATATATAGGATTTTGTAAAACTTGTCTAATTTGACAAATATTTGTTAAAGAAAACATTCTGAAAAATGAAAAAAATAATGTAAGTGCATGGTCTTAATATCCACATGAACTCGTATCTGAATATGTCCAGTTGACCTGGAAATTATACATCAGAAACCTGATATTTTTTAATAATATACTTTTAGTATTGTTTGTTTTGTACAAAACAGTATGCTTACATTCATAATAAAATCACATAGATTTAATGTATCACTTTCAAGTAAGAAAATATAACCATGTTATACTTTAAACAATATGTTGTTTTGGTGGTCCATGTAAAAGCCAGAAAACAACATTTTTCATGATATGTTAAATTATCGTTCACAGCATACAAAGTATTTAGTATTTTGATATCGTCTGCACATCCACAAAAATTCGACATTTACAGAAAAATGTCAAATACTGAGATTTTGATTTTACAATGATCACTTTACAAATTGCATAATTATTTGAATACATACGTCAATCAAAATTTAATCTCACACATAGAACGCACATTTATTTCTAAGTTAATGTACAATGTACATGCAAGTGACTTGTGTGAATTGAATCTCCTTCATTCTCAATTGCTATAAATATGACAGTAAACACCAGCTTTTGTCAAAACTCTAAACTCGTCATGGTTGAATTTATTCACAGCTGGTAGCTCAGGTCACACAGCAACTCGGTTGTCTTTCACTGTGACTCATTATGACTAATTTTGGTGCCTGTTATAGATGCACAGCTTTGAAATATGCAGCAACATTGTGCACGGATCACGGCAGACTGTGAGCATGAAACACATTTTACCAGTTGTGTGATGGTCAAGAGATCAATTTGTCTGGGCTTTTTGCATAAATACCCATGCAAACACTCTTGTCTGATATTTCTTAGAGCGACTGTGTGATTTCCTTTTGTGTCTTGCCTTTTATTTCGGACTTTACTGTTCGCTTCAGCTTCATTCACATTTTCAGCAGCTGTTTCATTCACAAATCAATTCTGAGCTGCTCAGCCAAGAAGGCTCACGCTGAGCTTTAAAACAAACCCATTAATTTTTAGAAAAACCGTGACATCTTCAGAAATGGACTGTGGGATTTCTCTGCAGGTCAGCTGACAGGAGTCCATTGCATGTGGTTGAGAGTCACAGTCCACATGTTATTCAGTCCCTCTCTTTTCCATCCTTTTTTCAGCAGTGCTGTCCAGTGTGGTCCTGTGCTTGTTTACCAGTTTATTCCAATTGTTGGGTGCTTTACACTTCTCATGTTTGAAAACATTTGGGGAATTGACTTTTCTTCTTTTCACGTCGTTCTTTATAAATATCCTGTGCCTTTACTCCAGTTTAAGTTGAGCTGAGGTGATAACATGATGCTTTACAAAATATGGAACGGTTTATGTTTGTAGCATTTAATGAAAGTTACAAAGCAGCACACTTGACAGATTTGCATGATTTCATGACACCCTCTGCGAGTTGTCCTAAAGCTGTAGTCACTATATGTCAACAAGATCAAGAGTCTACAGCCATGCTAGCGTCTCTGTGAGGCTAGGCATACCAGTGCTTTGAACTAAATGCTAATGCTAGCATGGCAGCATGCTCACAATGACAATGCTAACATGCTGATGTGTAGCAAGGAATGATCATGCTAACATTTGTAGCATTAAACACAAAGTACAGTTTACAGGTATTTGGTCATAATTTTATTGGACCCAATAAAATGTTGAACTCATGTTGGCACTAGATGAAAGGTTAAGAGATTACCAGTTCTTGCAATTATTCTGAGCCAAATGTGAATGTCTGTACCAAATTTTGTG